CCTGATCCGGCCTCAGCAAATAAATAAATGACACCGCACTGCTGTCCGCTGTGCACCCCCATGGCAAACACCACGGGGAGGTTGGTGCCCTTACAGTGGTCAGCCCCCACGCAGCGATGAGCGCCTGTGCTCCTCCCCAGATGCCCCACTGTGGGCACGAAGCTCTGGCCCCTGGCTGCTGGCCCTGTCAGCCATCAGCCATGGCACTCTGCCCCTTGTGCCCTTTGCTGCCAGTGTGCACGCTTGTGCTCTTGCTCATGCTGAGCACAAGTGCCCCTTTGGTCCTCCCAGTCGCAGCGCTGTGCAGCTCCTTGTGTACACGTGTGTCCAGGGCAGCACGTGCCCCGCTTCCCCCAGCACCACATTCCCAGCGTGGGACCCAGACCCCAGGGCACCAACAAAATGAGGTGACTGAGCCTTGTTCAGGAATGAAGCAGGGACCCCATTAGCGGCCTTGAAAACAGGACCCAGGCACCCATGGGTCTCACTGGACAAGCACATGAAGGCTTGGCTGCAGACATGGGCTTGCTCCGCTCATCCAAGCACCCCCAAAAGCCAGCCCCATGCTGCCACCTCTGCCCTAAGCTCAACTTTCCTCGGACCTTGCAAGTTTTCATAGAATCACAGAATCATTAAGGTTGGGAGAGACCTTAAGATCATTGAGTCCAACCTAACACCACCGTGCCCACTACATCATGTCCTGAAATGCACCATTCACCCCTACCAGCAACAGCGCCATGGCCACTGGCTCCTTCCTCTGCCCTGTGCCGAGGGAGTCCAGCCTGGCTGAGCACCTTCGGCATCTTGTCCCCAGGGCCATGCAACCTGTGTGCGAGCAGCCCATGTCCTACCCACACCACCAGCTCCACTCTGGCCTAGTCACAGCTGCAAAGCCACAGCTACCTTGTGCTAATTAAAAACATCCCTCATCAGAAGAAGCCAAAGGGCCGCTTCCTCCCTGCCACACTGGGCTGGCGTGGGTTTGAGGGACGCCGTCCCCGCTCTGCAAAACGCAGGGCCCACCGCTGCCTTCACCCTCGGCCAGACCGGGGCAGCTCTGCTCCCCAGGGCTTACTTTTAGTGCCTGTTAAAAAAGAGAGGCAGCGCACTGGAGGCAGGCAGCATGCAGGCAGGTGCCCAGGTGGGCCCCGGGGCAGACACGGCCTGTGGCTCTGGCGGGCGCTCAGGCCACACTCCACCTGCCCTGCTGGCCTGGGTCCCCTCACAGGAGGGGGACGGGTGCCTGGCCCCGGTCCCAGTCCTGGTGGGGAACAATAATAGGGACACTGACCCCCGGGCGCCCTGACGTCAGC